CTCCGTCACGACAACGGTTCCTTCGTTTTCCGGTACCACAATCTTATAAGTATGTTCTCCGCGCTTTCCGTTACGCGCGGTAAGAATGCAATAGGTCCCGTCTTTACGTGCTATCAGTAAAGGAAATAGCCACGAGGAGAGGGTGCTCAGATCGCGCTTTACCCAACCGGCAGATATTCCCATCTGGTCAAGCATGCGCAATGCCATTTCTGGCTCAAGCTTGTCGCTTTTTGGCAGGCCAGCATAGAGGACTTCTTTGCTGGCAAACTTAGCATGATGTGTACAAAGCCATTCAACACCCCACAGAAGGGAATCTTTTCGGGGATCTTCAATATTATTGAAGTCGTGCTCTGAATTAATTTCAACGGTGGAAAGATGCGTGCTCATTATCGAATCCAGACCTGTAGTGACGTTCCTCACTTAGAATTAAAAAAGTAAAGAATGTGCGATTTAAAAAACGACCAGAAACATCCATGAATACGATGAGTGGTAGCGGATTGTTTATGCTGAAAATACAAGCGCTGGCAATATCTTAGTGTATGAGTTAAGCATCAGGCACACAATAAGGATAAGTAACCACTCGCTTAGGAATAATTTACATCCCGGCAGGTAAATGTCTGTTTCCTGCGTATTACTATTCAACTGGCAAGTCTTGAAATGGGAACGCCAAGTTTATTCTCTATGCGTATTTTCATGGCATAGATATTTTTTACGTTAGTCGCATTTTTCATGGCGATTTTTTTCGGCAGTTGTCCCTTATACAATTCAGCAAAAAGTGCATATTCATTTGCACTTAACTTTGCCTTTTTCTCCGAGGGGCGTGTGATCTTGCCCATAAAAGATTGATTAATTTTGGTTTTGATATCTTCTGTCACATCATCATGAAAAATGACCGCGCTGATGACCGTTTCGCTCGTGTCGTTGTAAAACCAGTAGTGCGCGATAGCGGCCATTTTTTTATCCGTGATTAAAATCAATCTGGAGTTTTTAAACTGGCTTAACCAGTTGTTTGTTAAGAAGTAATTTATGTTTTTATAGTTAAAATCAATAACCACAATAGGCTGTGAAATCACTTTTGAATTAATATTGCTAAAATATTGCAGCAGTCCCTCAATCAGGAATGAGTTATTCTCTGGCCAAATGTAAAATTCTACACCGGTACACTCTACATTCTTTTTTGTTTGTACAGATGTATAGACGCATTTATTCACGCATCCATAGCAGCGCATTGCGTTGTCGTGGTGTTCAATATTATTAATAATCACTCTATCCATTAAGTTAAACGCAGTGCGTCCATATTATAAATATTAAATTTGATATAATATATCAACATTCATCTTAAAATTGCATTACGGATGAAAACGGGTAGCAGTAAGATTACTCGCGGTCGTACCAGGAATTTTCGACAGCGAGTATTTTACTGCATGATGCCATGCCAGCCGTTTTTTTCAGTATACGTCAGCTTGCGAGTCGCGTAATTGACACACCCAGCTTGCGTTCGATTCTGTTTTTCATCGCATAGGTGTTCTTGACACTGGTTCCGTTTCGGTATGCGATTTTCTTGGGCGTCCATCCGTTGAAAAGAAACGCAAACAGACTGTATTCATTCTGGCTCAGTTTTGGCCTGCTGCCTGCGGGCTTAATCGTTTTCGCGAGGAAGGTTTTCTGCAGTTTTGTTGCCACCTCCTCGGCCGTGTCGTCGTAAAAGATCACCGAGCTTATCGTCGTGTCGGACGTGTCGTTGTAAAACCAGTAATGGGCTATGGCGGTCATCTTCTTATCGGTGACAAGAATCAGTCTCATGTTCTTGAACTGATCCAGCCAGTTGTCTGACAGGAAGTAATTGATGTTTTTATGGCTAAAATCAATAATCACCACAGGCTGAGTAATGTATTTATCATTTACGTCAGTGAAATAATGACGAATGCCTTCAACAAGAAAGCTATTATTGTCAGGCCAGATGTAATACTCAAGACCCGTGCACTCTTTAATTTCATGCAGTGCGGAATTGTCAAAATGACATTTTTTATCACAACCATAGCAATGCATAGATGGCGTATGACAGACGGGCAGTCTATCAGTGGAAGATAAATAGATTGGGTTGTTAGTCGCACTGTACATATTTTACCTCACACGCACTGAATCGATACATTAATAATGAGAAGATGTTTAGCGAAATTGCTTTCGTTCTTTAGGAATAATCATACAGACCACCAGGTAAAATTCTTAATTAAATAATATGAATTGTCACGCCGGCATTCTTATTAAGAATTAAATGATTAAAAAACAGTTGCTTGCAAGATTTCTTAAATGAAAATGTGACATGTGAAATGTTTATTTAGCGTTGTGGTTGTTGTCGTTTTGTTGATTTTTTTTGATGCGCTCTTTACGTCGTGGAATGTATATTGAGATATCGGGAATATCGACCGTTACGTCCCTGGGCTTTATTAACTAAAGTAATCAGAGTTAATCGTTTAAATATCTGAAATGGTCTGTTGGCAAAAATAAAAAAATAGAATAATGACAAGCGTATTTTAATGGTCGGTATCGGCGAAAGAAGATGGTGAAGATATCAATAATGAGAACGCTCGCCCCCAGGGTTGAGGGATCCCCACAAAATAATGCCGGCAAAGACGACTCCCTCTCCCTTGAGGGTGAGGGGGAACATACGGCTGTGGGGGTCATTCCGTTCACTTTATGTTCCTCGCTACTAAAAATTACTGGGGATCCCTCAACCCCCAGGGGGCACAGTTTCGCATATGACATAATCATTGGTTAACATTGCAAAAACAATTTAGGTGCATAATATTAACAATTGATCGTTTTTGGTGCACGTGTCGCACTATTTTTGTGCGTTTCCTGGCATGTACGTGTGTTGGCGTGTGTCTGTGCCCGACCGAGTCGATTAAAATAATATATTAAAAATCATCGCCTTAATTTTACCCCTGTCATTTATATTTGAACCAATAGCGAATTGGTTCGTTTATTGCTTAATCATTAGCACGATAAGTAGCACGTCATATCAATAACTTATCGTTAATAAAAATAAAGTCATGATGAAAGCGAGCGAACCAATATGGAAAAACCGTCACGGTTTCTGGCCAATTCCAGCACCGCGCTTG